CTGCTCCAGCCACGTCTCAGCTTCCTTTGTGTTGCGGTCATCAGGACCCAGCTGGCTAAGGAAGATGTTGTAGGCATCGCGCATCTTGCCAACAGCTCCCTTGGAGTCTTGGTCAAGGGCAAGAGCTTGTGCCAGCTGGAACAAGATAGTCGCAGTGTTGATGGATTGCCTGCCAAAGAGGGACTCGCACACGGTCAACGAAGCCTCGAACCACTTCCGAGAGTCGGAGTACTGCTTGAGGTGCTGCAGCATCACAGCAGCGTTGTTCATGGTGGTGATGGAATCGGGGTGGTTGGGTCCATAGATAATCTTCCACAGATCCATGGCGTGCTTAATATAAACCAGGGCAGTCTTGGTGTTTCCAGAGGCATGCTCGAACAGACTAAGGTTAAGGTAGCTCAAAATGGTGTCGGCCGAATCAACGCCGAGAGTGCGCTCGGTGACGATAACAGCCTTACGAGCCAGCTCCACAGCAGCTTCCTTCTCATCAGTCTGATAGTAAAGCATGGACAGCTGGTGGTAGAGCTTGGCAACTTCTGGGTGAAGGATGCCGTAGATCTGCTCATGCAGGGACAGGGATTCCAGAATGAGCTCCTGGCCCAGCTGCTTCTGGTTCTGCATGAGGGAGATACGTCCAGCTTCCAAGGCCTCTTCAGCAAGGGAGCTTCGGGGAGAAGCATCCTTGACGAGAGGCACAATGTTGACAATGTCGTCAGGAACGATGGTGACAACAGGCTTCTCTGGAGAGGCAGCACGGGCCGGAGACTTAGAATCGCCACCCTTCTTCTTCTTCTTTTTGCCTTCGTCTTGGCTGGCAGCGTTGGTGGCGGGAGCCTTAGCGGGAAGTTGGGACTTGGCAAAAGCAAACTCGCGGGCACTAAGCTGGAGACCAAGCTTGATGGAAATATCACGAAGAAGCTGCAGGTGCCTCAAGGAGTTGAACCACTCAGCCTCAAGGGCAAAACGGTACCGGATAGAGACCTGCTTCTCAATCTCAGCCCGCAGAGTTGCCGGAGTAACCTTCTCAAAAGAGAAGTCAGCCTCTGGATAGATCTCCCGCAGAGATGCGTCGATATTGGCTTGAGGGTTCGAGTTGACATCGGCACCCAGGAGACAGTTCAGGAGGTGGGCAATGCAGGAGGCGGTAAATGGCGCGGCCACGTTGCGCAAGTAACCGTTGGCAATGTGCTTGAAGGCACGAGCAATCATTTCCTGGACAAGCAGGATGGTCAAAGCATCCAGACGGGCGCCCTTCTCCTTGGACATTTGAGCCAACTTGCCAAGGTAGCGGATGTTGATACCACGCTTGTGCAGAAGCTGGCTAAGAGATTGTCCGTCCATGGGGAAGCCAACATCACCGTCATGCAGATCCTGGATCATCTCAGGCATCACCTTGGAACGGAGGAAGTCGCATGTCTCACGGACCTCCTTCTCGTCCTGAGCCCACTGCTCCTTCTCTTCATCAGTCTGGGGTATTTGGCCACTGCAGATGTCAGGGTTCAAGGCAAGAGAGAACCCAGAGATGTCAACCCGCTCCTGGTCCATTGCCTCTTCGCTCTTCTCTTCGGAACCGTCCTCCTTAGATTCAGCATTCTCTTCAGACTTCTCCTTAGAGGCAGCTTCCTCAGCCTTGGCGGCGCGACGGCGCTCAACCTCAGCCTTCACATACTGACTCATCTTGTGTCTCCAGTAGGATTCAACAAGTTCCAATCTCAAAACCGACATGTTATGAGGGTAGGCATCGCTTCCTTCTTCTTCCTGCCACATGGCATCCAAAGGAGTGACGCGGTAGAGGTCGAGCACATATTTTCTGCCGTCTGTACCAAGCAAGCCCTTGGTCTCAACACTGCCTTCGAGATCATGACGCTTTCCTTCCTTATCCCAGACAGCGTGTTTCTTAATCCGAAGAGCCTTAGAGAGCTTTTCAAAGACAGGGGCAAAGTCGGGGTGGGTAGCCACGACGTCCTTGCCTTCAACACCACCGTAATCGATCTGGTGCTCACCAGGTTCGCGCTGCTTGAAGATACCAGGCACAATACTCTGGCCGACAATACGCTTTCCAAGGTAATCCACGACGACGGTTCCAGGTGTAAACAGGCCGTTAATATCTAGCTGGTTGACTGCCTTAATTCCTACAACGTCCTTACCGACAGCTACGCGAGCAGCTTCGTCGCCGCCCTCAGACGCGAAAGTTCCGACACCGTCAGCGCCGAAGGAATAGAAGATGTTGTTGTACACAAAGATCTGAGCATCGCGACCCTCAGTGGGATTGAGGGGAGCGACTTCGCCCTTGGCGACCAAAACGGCACCGCGAGCCGCGGCCTCGTTATAATCCGCGAACAGCTTGGAGGTCAGGCGCTCTCGGAAAACACGGTCCTGAACGGTGTCACGAGGCAACTCCCGCGTGGTCTGGAACTCCTCATTCCAGTCTCGCAATGTTTCCGCGTTGTCGACACCAGAGATCAAATAGTTCTCTTGTGACCGTGTGATGTCAGGCTGGTGGGCATTCACACTGGACGAAGGAGGAGCAACGAGCCACGGGCTGTTGGGGATAGCGTTCTGGAAGGGGAAAGTAGTCAAAAGGTCCTTCTTGTTGTTGGCCTCCTGCAGCGCTTCGAAGGAGGTATTGAAAGAAGGAGACAAGTGAGAGATCAGAGTAAGAAGAGAGTGGGCGCTGCCCTTCTTCGGCATGGGCTTGGGGAAAGGATCGAACCTGGCATTGGAGCACTTGTTCACGAAGAAGCCAGAAACGTGAGAAGTAATCTGGAATTGCTCTCCCTCGTTGGTGGTGACCTGGAGGTAGAGCAGGTGACCCTTCTGACGGAGATGGTAGGGGACAGGGTTCCATGGAGATAGCGAAATCGACTTAACGGTCTTGGGAAGAGGAGCCTCTGCTCTAGGGAGGATGGTGTTGAGAGACGGTGAGCCGGCAATGTCATATTTGGACAACGAGTGCTCCTTCTCCGCGGTCTCTCCAGCAGCGGCTTCCTCGGAGATGGAATCGTGCAATGAAAGACCGGCGCTGATACCCTGGAGGTTGTCGACACGGTCGCCTGCAGCTCCGACTAGCTCCCTCATTCGGATAACGTGCATGCGGGATTCCTTCTCGGTATATGGGTCTTCCACAAGGACGATTTCCGAATCAGCCTTCAAATCGGGAACTTCAGACAGTTCGACAAAGTCATTGATGCGGCTGCCGTTGAATTCCAGGTGGAAGCAAGTGTACTGGAAGGTGCTGGGAAGCTCGACAATTGACTGTCGGACATCCTGAACTTGCTCCTGGCTTGACACCTACGGAGGGACAGAACAGTTAGGCAATCCTTTAAATCTCTGCGATCATATAGATGTCAACTGGTTTCAAACACCCACCATCACCTGGATCTTATAAGGCTCGTGAGGAAGCTTCACGGAGATCTGGAAAAGGCCTTTCCATTCGGACGACCAGTGTCAGGCTTCAAACGATAACACAAGTATCCCAATTGTGACGTGACATACCTCCATTCTGCTCCTCTTCCTGGGCTCCCTCGGGGTGGTTTCCGTTGGTAAGTTGCTCCGGAGTCTCTGCTATGACGGTTAGGTTATCGTACCTTCTACACTGTGAATTGGCAAGATCACAAATGAACAACATACCTTTCGAGTGCTCCAACTCACCATTGGTCTGGGCCATTATGATCGATGTATTGGTAATAAAGGTAGGTTTCAAAAGAAAATATAAGGCTTAAAGCTGAAGCTACAACCTGACCGAATGTCTTGAGCTTCAGACCCGGTTGGGGCAAGAAAGTAGGAAAAAGAGGAAAAGGGAAAAAGTTGAAAGCGTCGGGGAAGAATGTAGAATGAAAATAAGAAATCAAAAAAGGTATGGTATACAAGTACAAGGGCAATTGAATATAGTAAAAACAAACCCCGTACCCAGACGAATGAAGGGAAACAGAACAATACCCCAAATATGGAAAATAATGACAGGATGCAAAAAGGTTGAAGCTGGAGAAAGCAATGGGGAAGCCGGGCAAAGAGAAAATTTCGCGCGGAATACCCTCGGATGTCCTCGGGGCGGAGGAATGGGTATGGTAATAGGAATTACATTGGGAAAAGTTGTTCAGGTAAAAAAAAAAAAGAAAAAGTATCAAGATCTCCACACAAACCTTTCCATTGACCCCAACTTGAACCATATCCACTCCTGGGACAGAGTATCTTTCTCATGAATAATGTAATTTATCAATTGAGTCTCCGTAGTTCGCTTCTCTTTGGTGCCACGTTATGTCGTAATGTCCTAACACCTACGTACCCCGTATATTCCGTGGTCCCAAATAGGGCTGTGGATAGTAACGTTATGTATCTTATGCGTGAGCTGTGTTTTCTTTAAACTGGGCTAAAGTGTAATACAGAGTACTGCAGACTCTCTACCTAATTGTAGATCGTGGGTATATTCACAGACCACTCTATTCTCGTCTTGAGTCATTCGAAACGCCTCTCTGGGGTATCTGATGTAGGTACTAAAAGTGCGAACAAGTGCCTCCAGCGTAAGTAAAAGTGTCTACGCCAGGTGGATTCATTGTTGAAGAACATACATCCATGCGACAGTTGTCACGTTGTACTCTCAATATTTAACATGTTTTAACTTCTTTCCCTCTTCAATGGAAGTTTTCCGATTGACTTACCGACACTTCGGCAGAGTTACCGACCTCGAAATCAGCCACACTTCTCAACAAATTAGAGCCGTGCCAAGCCACAGTTGATCTCCATGCGATCGGGGGCGCAGCACCGGAGAATATCTTTGTCTGGAAATTGAAAGATTGGGTCCAAACTTTCCACCTCACCTTTTTGTGTTTGTGCTGTCTTTCCTCTCTTATTTAATTCCCACTGGCCTACTCTCCTTTATCTTCATCTCCTTTTGAGGCTCTGTGTTGGGATTCAATCGGTGCTTGATTGTTTACTCGCCAGTTCTCCTTTTCATGTATCCACTACGTCATTCATTTTTCCCCTATCACTATAGTCGACGCGCGTAATTTTTCTTACAATCTTTGGAACCTTCAATTTTACCTACCTTTGACGTCTGTGATCATTTTTATTTGATTTTTATTAAGCAAAATATCTATTGCATTGATACAATCCGTGGCATTCGCTTAATCTGCAGTGTATATGAGCGATGCCGGTGTACCGACATGTTCCACGATCCCTGCCAATATTCTCTTCGGGCCGCTGTAGCCTGTCGAGACCGTTGAGATCCAATGGAGTAGCTCCATATAAATCGGGAATGCATTTCTCGCAGGGCTCCTTCCAAGCTGCCCCAAACCCCCTGGAGCAGGATGCAGGAGATGACGGAGCCCGGTCCAACGGCAACGACTCAGAGCCAAATTTCAGATCTACTATTCTCAAAATGATGGAGACGGCCGCCACCACTTTTGCTTCTATTGCCGTCCTAGGGTATGCTCCCCTAGCGGCCTCCACTGCTGCGCTTTGTCGCTTACTGACGATTTCCCAGTGCCGCGGGCTACTCGTACCACCGGTACTACAAGTATCTGATTTTGGAAAAGATGGAAAATGCCTTTAAGCCGGGCGATCCAGCACTCGAAGTTGCAGGTGTAGAATCTGGCAAGCATCAATATCATCATGAGGAGCACTGGGTCGTCCGTGACGAACAACCCAGAATTGATCGAATCATTGCTGGTGGCGCTGGTGGCCGTTATTTCCTGCTCATCGGTGAGAAGGGCACTGGAAAGACATCTATGCTTCTGGAAGGGATGCGCAAAATTGATGGGGAGGGTTGTGCTATGTTTGAAGCACATGGTGATCTTGAGATTTTCCGGATCAGGCTTGGAAAGGCGTTAGACTATGAGTTCCATGAAGAGTAGGTTACTTGGTGAACTTCCTTTCTGCAACGAAACTGACAGATTGTGCTAGCTACATTGGAAGTCTTTTCAGCATTAAGGGTCCTCGAGATACTACCCCTCTCTTGGACATCGAGCGCGCATTCAACAAGTTAGAGAAGGTAGCTCTTGCGCGTCGGCGTGAGGGATTGCCCGCTTTGATATTAATCATCAATAGCACTCACCTAGTCAGGGATGATCATGACGGTCAGGATCTACTGGAAATGATTCAGCAGAGAGCGGAACAATGGGCGGCTAGCAACTTGGTGACGACAGGTAAGCTGCGCTTTTTCTTTTTCGCTTCCAATATAGGCCCTGACAATACCGAAATTATAGTCCTCAACAGTGATGATTACTGGGTGTATGAACGCCTCAAGCGGTACGCCACCAGGATGGAAGTCATCCCTGTTTCGGATCTACCCAAGGGACGAGCGATAGACGCTCTACGGAGGTATCGCAGACAGTACTTTGGCGAGGAATTATCTCACGAAGTACTTGAAGAGATATACGACAAAGTTGGTGGACGTTTATCCTTCCTGAACCGGGTGGCAAAGGCCAAAGATTATATGAAACTCTGTGATAGCATCTGTGAGGCAGAGAAGAGATGGTTCCTCAACAAATGCTGGATTCTTGGACCGGAAATGGATGACGACGTCATGGATGAGCAGAAGTACTCTGTAAGTACAATAAGGGCCCCAGGATGTAATGAGAACGCTCTAACTAAAGATGATGACAGTCAGCTGCAATGGTTCTCGCTAAAGCGCTTGTCGACAGGGAGAAGGAGATGGAGAAAACTTATGACCCGGAGATCGGCCATATTTTACCACAGATCCCGCTGCATAAAGCGCGGGAAGTTATGACAAGAGCAGACTTTATCCAAAGTTACGACCATGATAATATCTTTACGATCGATTCTCGGGCTATGGTCCGAGCCGATTCCGTTCCTATGCAGAATGCTTTCCGAGACATCTGTTCTTGGGAAGGATTTGACAAGCATCTGGAGGGAACATTAGAGCGTATTGGCGACATTGAGAGTCTTGGACGAACTCGTGAGCTTACGATCAAAGATCTTTGGAATCAGGGCAAATACCAGCTTGCTATGCGGGATCCCAAGGGTCGCGACAACGGTGTTGCTGAGTTCTCGGTGGTGGAGGGCCAGAAAGACGATGAGGACGACTGAAGCACAGGGAAAGCGGATCCAGGGTTAAAGCTATCATACGCTACCTGATTGGAAAGCACTGTAACTATGGGATATATACTACTTAACCTGTCTGTGACATAAGGTAGCAAGTACATACCAAACCTATGATATCACATGCTACTACCTACGTAGTAGTAGAAGACAGGGATTCCGGATATTCTGATTGGTTGGGTGTATCAGGAAATCCGTGACATCATCACATGCTCACCGCTCGCCAGAAAATCAGCCCCCCCAGCCTCCATGAATATCAATGAATATATTCTACAACTACAACGAATTTCTTCAGCTTGCCATTGGACTCACCTCCAGTTCATTCCTCCATCAACTTATAAGCTCGCCAGACTTGGTACTACTGACACAAAACACCCACCCAACCATGTCCCCCCGCAAGAAGGAAGTCTTATCTGCTGTAACGGCGACCGCAGATACCCGCGCAGACGAGCCGGCAAACGAATTGCGCCAGAAGGCTCAGTTGGAACGGATTCCCCAGCCAGCGCGCTTTGTATTGGTCGTCCTGAGTAGCCTGGTACTGAGTGCGGGATTCTTCAGTTTAACGTCTGGGGATACCCTTGGCGAGCTAGGCGGCGTGAGCAGACATCTTGAGGCATGGTGGGAAGTGGGGGGTTTGGCGGCTTGGAAGGCTATAGAGGTTGGGTTAGCCTGGGTCTTGGGCTTTGATGGTGAGTTTATCTTAGTTTTGAAATACCTATAAGAGAGGGCTGACCAACTCCTGCAGGACGAGATGTGTCATCATTCATCTTCCTTACTCACCTCCCCACCTACGCACTCCTGGCATCATTTTACAACATCCGCCCCACTACGGTCTTGATCTCTTATGTGATCATCTTATTCTCGACCTCGGTCCCCTTTGTACTCCTGCGCAAGCCGACTTGCGTGCACGACCTGTCGCATGCTCCCTCCGATGCAGTCCGCAACCGCTCAATCCTTCAGGACCGCGCGACAACCATCTACACCACTATCGCCGCGACATCAATTCTGACTGTCATCCTATACCTAAGCTACGCGACCTGGCTCCCAACACAACTGGTCCTCCACTTCGAAAACATCCCTGACATTGGCGCCGTTCACGCCGGTCCTGCGGGTCTGCCAGCCCTCTTCCTCGCCCTCCTTCCAGCCGGCTGGGCGGCGAGAGATCTCCTTTTCGTTAGTTCCACTGGCGCGGCCGCGTCTAAGAGGACCGAATCGACCGAGAAGAACCCCGCATCGCACGAAGGCGAGTACCTCGTCTGTGCAGTTTATCGGAAGACCTGGGGCGCACTCTCGCCTAAGACGAGAGTTCTTATCTCGCGAACGGTACTTCTTGCCGTCATGCTTCTCAGTAACACCATTGTCCAGTTGGCAGGAACCATTGAGGGAATTAGCGTCGAGGGTGCGTCCGCTTGGGGTTCAATCTGGGCCGTCGCCATTTTGGCTGTTGGAGCGACTTTTGGTTGGATCGAGGCTGTTGATGGGGTATGATTGCTCGGTTGGTGAACCCCGGATTTGGGTGTATGAAATGTGACCACGACGAAAAGTGCTTCTTTTAGGTTTCCCCCTTGATGACCTGGTATGGATGAAACCCTGTTACGACCTTTTCACCTTATTTCTTCGGAATGTTGTTTAGCTTTGGCGCTTCAGGTTATATCCGATTCTATTCTCTTCTGTTTCCTTTTGTCCTTCTGTCGTCATTCGTACCTTATCTTTTGTATCTCTAGTTGTTCTCTCGAGCGTTTTTGTGGTTAATGAATCTTCACGAAATTGACCTGAAAGTATATGCTTAACAGGTTTCTAATTCAATTATATATTGAAACATTATAGTCGTTACCCTTAAAAGACCAACGATCTAGAATCTAAGCACTCGCTATACAAGAAAAACAACAATGCTGACTCCAACCAAGACGTAAAAACAAAAAAGAAAAGGAAAGGATAAAGGAACGCAGTACTTCACCGAAGTTCAGTAGTATGGCCATAGCCATCCTCAGACATTATCTCCCGGTCATACTGCATGGCCTTGGTACTCGGCATCAACCAGCCAGGATGGAAGATATTGAACACGCCAACAGCAGCCACCATCATCGCGCCATCAAGCGCAATGAAGTACTTCTCCCGGGTAATCAGATACCCAGTCCAACCCTGCGACAACTCGATGGTACGGTAGATGCTTCGGACGTAGATACAGAGCACGGAGAAGACCATAGCGGCGAATAAGGGGGTGATGGATCCGCTCATGTTCTGCAGAAGACGACGGCGGAGGACGCGGCGGACAAAATCGGCGGCGCAGGCGACGAAGACGGTAATCGAGAACAGTTGGAAGACGATACCAGCGACCATGATATGGGTGCCGGGAGCTGTGTCGCCGTCTTCCTTGTTCGTTTCGGCGGAGGCGATGCCGCCGCCTATGGCTTGGATGACGAGCGAGATGACGTCGCAGGTGCAGAAGATCCAGAGGTACATTTTCGGGCTGAGGATGGAGGAGTCGCGGCCGAGGATTTGGATGAAGCGGCCAAGGAGGACGTAAATACCTGCTGTGAAGAATGTGGGAGCTAAATTGATTGGTTAGTGCCCTTTTTCCCTTGGAGATAGGCAGATTGGGGTTTCTGTTTTTGGTAGGTTGCTTACCGATGATTAGGGTGGATATTTGCATCAGGAAGGCTGTCATATTGTAGGGACATTCTGAGGACCAGGTACGTCCAGCCCAGCCTAGGACCTCCGCTGTGTTGGTTTAACGTCAGTATATTATTCGGGTTACTGGGGGTTGAGACGTTACGCACTCAGACAACCAATACTGAAGACAGCACACCACCAGGTTCTTTTCCACGTAAACTGGATTGTGTGAACGATCATCGAGAGACCAAAAAGAACAAGGAAGACGACGCCTGCAGCCAGCGACGGCTGATAACCGTACGCAGTATCCATGCCATCTATGATAGGATGGCAGCTCCTGGAGAGCCACTGTTTGAATTCAAACTCTTGATCGGCCGACATATTAAAGATAATTAAGGAAATCTGCGGTTCGTAGGGTTCAGTTGGCCCGGTGCCAATGGGAATGTAAGCGTGGATGATCACAGGCAGTTGTAATATTGAGTTGAAAAGACTGATGCGAAAGGCACAATAAAATCTTATATCTGAATGAACGACTAGGCAACGGCCCACCTATACTTAGGACCGATATAGAAACACGTCAAGAGTCAAGTAAACGAGTGGCTGAGCAAGAAGCCCGTTTAGTATGAATCACAAGGAAGAGAAAAGCGAGACGAGTCAGACAGGATATATTCCTTTCTCGTGAAAATCTTCATTTTCTTACAGGGCCATAGACTCAAAATCGGGACCCGGATGGATCCAATAACCCGGGCTCGCATTTGACGTAACAGTGGAATACAGCGGGGAACACCCGTTGCAAGACGCATTCTGATTGAACCCCATGGATAATCTCTTTATTCGGGCCGCAACTTCATTCGGCAAATTGGTCGAAGGCTCCAACGTCCTCTGTTCGGAGTTCGGCCCTGAGCCTGAAAGTACTCGCAAGGTCCGCCAAATTGGGTTTAGGGCATCTCGTAACAGTTTCATGAGAGTATCGGAGATAAATCCGTTAGACCGTGCAGCTCTCCAGTCACCAGTCATGTTGTACTGTATGTAGGATCGTGGCGCTATATCAGATCCTTTATGCCGATAGAGTCAGGCGTGTAACTGAGGCTGAATCACGTAGGCCACAGCTTTGTCTCCACGACGGTGCTGGGCATTAGCCATCGGCCCTGATTCTCGGCAAGTGCGAAGCTTTCATTAGAGCTTGGCAGAGAAGAAGAAGGTATCTATCTTATTTTTGAATAATTGTATCCATAGTTGAGCCCCTGTGGTTTAGTAAAGCGAAGGTGTGATGTGATTGCAAAGGGGGGTGATGCATGTTACATCTTGAGATAATGGATAATGGATGTTTGTTGAACGTTCTATGGATTCAAATGTGGGCCTGAGGCGTTGTATTTCTTGGCAAAAGTCTCTCGGTCTAACCGGATTAGGAGAACCTTGAGACCTACTAACCTTGAAAAACATCAGCTAATCCACCATGCAATAGAACTGTCACTTCATGCTATTCACACGTGGGCTGCGCCTTATATAAGACCCAGTGGATGTGAATGTGCCGGGGTATTCGTCAAAAAAGTTTTTAACCAGTATGCCTTGGCCTTTTACTGACGTCTGAGGGTCCGGAAATCACGCTAGGCCTGCGATCTTGAAGCGCTGCAGTGGGTTCTTGATCTTCCAGTTGACGAAGACGAGATGTACTCAAAGCCATTCATTCCATTCAACATTTAAGGACCGGCATAAACCGTGAATCTGCAAGCGCTTGAATATTTAGAGAGATCTATCGTCAGATCAGAAAAGGACGGAGGCGATTGAAAGTTTGGCGGTCGGGAGAACTTTTAAGTTGTATTTATGCATCCACCATCCTTCTAACAGCACAGCTCATTGTGCTACCAAGATTACTACCTGTTTTCATAGCACAATGAATAATCACTATAACAAAGATAGAGAGGAAATTCAAGATTCCGCCGTCCAGATGCAAAGCTATTTGACGCCTGACCTCAAGAAACCCCGCTCGCTACTGTATAGTATACTTAGTTCGTAAGCGCCGTGAATCCCATCATCTGGGGTCAGCTCATCGATTCTTCATTTCTACTTGCCTTACTCAGACACACATAAACAGCCATGGGGTTAGTTTCAAGAATCCCAGAAGACCCGGGGCTATCTCCCCTTAAACCATCTCCGGTTCGCATATTGATTCAAACCCTGACGCACCTGGCTCCGTCAGATGGCGTGGCTGGCGATGAAGATCCATACGGCGATAGGCTTATATCAATGCTCGATCGTATCTGCAAACACACTTGGGATGTTGAATTTGAGCCTGGTGTACACCGCTGGTATACATCTGGTGACGAGTTCGGCTATAACAATCGGCCTTGTTTCTTTCTTGTCGATTATGGCAATGCTTCTACTGACGATGACGTCCCGATTAAAAGTTACGAGTGGATAGGAGAGGAATTGTATGAAGGGGTCGGCGTGTGGCTTAAAACGCTACCAATGGGTCAGTGGGGGTTCGCAGACCAGCAGAGTGTTGACCCATTCAATTTCATTCTGTACAAACACACGCACATGCCGTACGCAGGCAAGTCCTGCAACGACAAGACAGGGAGGAAGAGGGAAAAGCAATATTAACAGGTAAAGGGCGGCGAGGCAGAGAACGAAAACGACTACGAGTACTAGTAATATAGTAATGAGCATGGTCGAAGGCCAATCACAAGGTCGACAATCCAGAAAGCAACCTGCTAGTTACCTAACGATTGAAAAACACACTCATTTGGATATGTAAGTAGAGTACGCACGTGACTGCTCCTCACTCTCTTTCCACTGTAAGCAATTACTACAAAGTAGATCGATCATGCGATAACGTATTTATTCAACTGGGTTGTTGGTGTAGCTATGTAGCCCCCTGTTTGTTCCTCTAGACCATGGACTCATTAAAATTGTGGCATCTCATACATGTCATCAGGGTCTACACCGAATCAGCCAGGAGAGCCAAAAGCAGACAATGAAGAGATAACTTACCCTTGCGGTTTGCGTAGATATACTTCTGTGTCTCAACAATGTTGTGGTTCAGCTCTGTGCTCAGCTCCTGCTCACGGAGTCGAACCTTCTCGTTTCGCTTCGCTGCCCCTTTAATGGCGGCCTGGGCAACATGGAAGCGGGAGGTCTTGTTCACGAGCATCATATCAAATGGCGTCGTGGTGCTTCCCTCCTCGATATACCCGGCAATGCTCACACGCTCTAGACGAGGCCGGCCGAAAAGCAGACCTTGCAACTCGGTCATATATCCGTGGTAGTTAAAATGGATTGGTTTGTCGGAGGTGAAAAGGTTATCAAAGGAATCGGTTGTCAAAGCATGCGGGTGGGCCCCTTCGTTCTCCAATATCATCAGGTCTGTCACGTTGATCACCCGAACGCGAAGTTCAGGGCAGCGCTGGCGCAGAATTGCAGCGGCGTAGATGACCTCAAACATCACTTCAACGCCGACTCCCACAAGGACAACGTCTGGATCAAGTCCGTCATTTGTACTGCAGAATTTCCAGATCGATGCGCCAGCTCTGCAGTGGCTTTCAGCTTCTTCAGGTGATAGATAAACGGGCGTCGGCTGCTTTGAGCCAACCATGAGATTGATGTAATTCTTAGATTTCAAGCAATGGTGAACGGTTGTTAAGAAAGTATTGGCGTCCGGCGGTAGGTAGACACGCGCGGCATTAGGCTTCAGCTTGAGAACGTTTCCGATGAATGATGGGTTCTGGTGAGAGAAGCCGTTGTGTTCCTGTCGGGTCCAGGTACTGGTCTCAATATAGTTGATGCTGGCCACATCTTTGTGCCACCCTGTTTCTCGGGCCTAGTTGTTTATCACTCTGGTTAAGGAGAGCCAGTCAATGGGATGCAGGGAAGGGGTACGTACCATCTTCATGAACTTGGCGTATTGCACCATCATAGTGTGGACAATACCCAAGAAACTTTCGTAAGAGGGAAAGAGGCCCACACGCCCGGTCAAAGTGTAGCCCTGAAGGAAACCTTGACACATATGCTCACTCAATACTTCAATAACACGACCACCCTTCGCGTTGGAGTACTGGTCCCATTGGAAGTTCCGTCCAGTATGCGCGAGAGCGGCATCCAACTTATTACTCTCTAGCTCATCTGGCGAGAACAGTCGGACACTGTGTGGGTTTTGGGTGAAAACTTTATCTATGAATTTTCCAGTTGTCTTCATCGAGCTTTCTTGCGCACCTTTCTCTACACAGAAAGTCCTCCAATCCGGAAGGTTAGGTGGCTCGTAGGCTTTGTATGCCTCAAAACGTTGACCGAGCTTCTTGGAGTCATCCGAAGGAATGATCGTCTTGATTTCATCAATAACATCTCCTGTCTCGGTAAAGAGCTCATGGGGGTTGTAGGAAGATAACCATTTCTGAAGCGCCTGAAGTTCTTCCTTGTCCTTCTTTGCATTAGGTAGAGGAACCTGGTGTGAATGGAACGACCCCTCGATAAATTGCCCGTGCAGCTCCTTGGGTCCTGACCAGCCCTTAGGTGTGCGCAGCACTATCATGGGCCACCGGGGTTTCATGATCGGCTTCCCAGAGCGGGCTGCTTGCTGAATCTTATGAATTTCCCCAATCGCCCAATTCATGGAGCAATGGAGATCAGTATCAATATCGTCTAGACTCTCAACAATGCGCACTTGGTAACCATATCCCGTGAAAAGAGAAGTTAACTCTTTGTTGTCCATGCAGCCGAAGATGGTGCGCTCGCTGATTTTGAATCCATTGACATGCAAAATTGGTAGGACTGCTCCCGATTCCGCTGGGTCAATGTACTTGATTGCATGCCAGGAACTGTTTCTATCAGTAAAGCACTTTACCCCAGATAGATCGTCCATGAACTCACGTCGCTGTTGGACCGGTTTCTGCTTCTCCATCACCGACCACGCAAGTGACAATGAGATCCGGATTATCCATGACTGCACCAAAGGACACAGCTAACGCATAACCCAACTCCCCACCTTCATGGATGGCTCCTGGGGTCTCGGCATTAATATGGCTGAATAGAAACAGTTAGCTCAAGCTCGGCATACTAATTCACTGAGGGAAGTCAAACCTTGGCAAACCGCCAGAGGTACTAAAAGTGGAGATGAGATTCTTGAGACCTTCCTTGTCTCGAGAATACTGTGGGTAGAACTTCCCCAATGAACCCTCCAGCCATAGCGAAGCAAGTAGACCTGGTGCACCGTGCCCCGGTCCGACGACATACAGCATGTCTAGGTTTCGCTTCTTGACGATGTAGTTCAAATGGGAATATACGAGGATAAGCCCGGGACATGTTCCCCAGTGACCTGGAAATATGGTATTGGATGAGCTGATATGTTCCTATCCCAGATGATGTATACAAAGCTTCAGAGGATCTCACCAAGTAGTCGAGGCTTGATGTCATCATGTTTTAGATCGCGCTTCAATAACACATTGTCCTGCAGAAAAATCATTGCTAGAGAACATAAGCGGGTGTCTTAAGAGTATAGGGTTATCAAATCTCACCTGCTGCAATGTAAGCAGCTGCTCGGCGAAATTTCAATAAAGCATCGGAAGTAGATTGATCTAAGGAAGCCAGGTCGAGCTGGACTTGCAGCTGTTCAACGACATCCGGAATGTGTGACGGCTCAGCCTTAGGATTTGGCCTATCGATTAACTCGCCCGGCATGGTTAGTGATCCGCAGATGTGTGAAATGTATTAAATAAGTTAATAATGCTTGTTTGGTATAAAGTTCGTTGATAGTGTGGATGCGCCAAGGGATCAATGGATGGATATGGAGAATGGAACTGCAAATCTTGGGGACGATGGTTTCTAATAGTTTATCTATGGTTTCAGACGTATGAAAGGATATAATTCCACAATCCCAGCCTTAAATCACCAATCCTTGGTTTAAGTAGATCCAAAATCTCGTAGGGTTCACCGGAAATACTTATTTCGAGGCTGTAGTTCCAGGTCCATGATGTCGGGTTCCCAAACTACGTCACCATGCAAGTCCTTTGACATCACCGGCTGCACCCCAACAGGGAATTGGCCCACCACAACGAACAAATAAAATGGTCCCTTTCAATTGTGAATTATGAAAGAGAGGGGCATCGAGAACCACAAGCCGATTACTTATTTACCTGGAAGCCTGGAAGCCCGGTGGATATGGCATGTCTCGGTTCAACTCTCCCGATTCTGCCGCCTCCAACATGACACGCAAATCTATCCTCTCAGTTAATGCCGGATCATCTTCGGTGAAGATTACCTTCTACACCTTTGAACAGCCACCAAAAGTCGTCGCCAATGCACAGATCTCGGGGATCACAGCTCCTCCAGCAACACTGAAATACACTCGGGGATCGACGAAGCACAAGGAGCAGCTCAAGGAGAAATTGAGCACACCTCAGGATGCTTTCAAGTTCCTTCTGCAGAGATGTTTCTCTGATCCTAACCTATCCGAGGTTACTAGCAGTGATGATCTGGCATTCATTTGTCATCGGGTTGTTCATGGCGGAGACTATGAGCGATCGGTAGTTATCACCAATGAAACCTATCACCACTTGGAGAAACTCGAGGATCTAGCCCCGCTGTATGCAGTGCCCATGCCCTTTCGATCAGGATGTGTTTCTGACTGGCGACAGACACAACTTTTCTGCTTTGGAGATCATTCGACTCTGTAGAAAGGAACTACCTTCGGTGAAAAGTATCACATTCTTCGACTCCGCCTTCCATCAGACTCTGCCCGACTATGTAAAGACGTATCCAATTAACCAGGACACCGCGAAAGCAAATGGCCTTCGGAAATACGGGTTTCATGGCATTAGTTATTCCTTCATCCTGCGCTCGGTAGCTCAATTTCTGGGCAAGCCAGTGGAGCAGACTAATGTGATTGCCATGCATATTGGAAGCGGTGCTTCTGTATGCGCAATCAAGGAGGGCAAGTCCATTGACACATCGTAAGAATGATCTTCGTCCATTGTGGAAAAGACGTGCTGACAGATCTTCTTAGAATGGGGCTCACACCCTTGGCTGGCTTACCTGGTGCCACCCGTAGTGGTGATATTGACCCATCGTGAGTATTATCAAAAGGTGGCTCTAAGACTGATGGTTAACGCGTTCTTGGCAGGCTCGTGTTTCATTACACTAGCGAAGCCGGAAAGTTGAGCCCTGCGAGCACTAAAGAAATGCATATTAGCACGGTAAGTCCCTAAGACTGTGTGGAAGAAGCAAACAGCTAGCTGACTTAGGCCCATCTAGGCCGAAGAAATCCTGAACAAGAAATCCGGATGGAAAGCGCTCACTGGAACTACAGATTTTGCTCAGATAGCCGTTGAGAATCCTCCAGATCCGGAGCATAAACTCGCTTTCGACATTCTCGTCGACCGTATTCTGGGGTATATAGGTAATTACTTTGTCAAGCTAGAAGGAAAAGTTGATGCACTCGTTTTCGCCGGCGGAATTGGTGAGAAGAGTGCCTTACTGAGGAAAACTGTCGTCGAGAAATGCCAGTGCCTAGGGGTAGCTATTGACGCATCAGCTAATGACAAAGGGCCGTCCGACGACCAGACGGTGATGGATATCTCCAAGGTAGATGCTAGTGGACCGCGTGTAATGGTCTGCCAGACAGATGAGCAAGTGAGTATAACTCCTTCTTCTGCTTATCTTAAGCACACTCGCTAATGCGTTTTCTAAGTTCGAAATGGCATATAATTGCATTTTGACACACGGAAATGAGAATGGATCATGATGGCGTGGTGCCTCAGAAGTTTCACAGTCAGGGGTTACTAGTGCTGGGGCATAATATATGTTAGTTACTAGTCATTTATCAATCACGTTATCCCTGCCTAACCTATCCTAATGGTTTGACTTATAGTCCTAGTTTGCAATGTATGACTGACTACTAGTTCGGCCGCTCCTTCCTTAATTGACAGTTCAGTATCATATATATTTTTTCCTTGGTGCTCAATAAGCCAATATTACTACCGTGATATTAACTTGGGGGAAATACCCCCCCCCCCCCCCCCAAAAAAAAAGGTCGACAAGGACGCGATTGAGCGCATTGGTCTTGTATGTCATTATGTTGATCCAAGTCTATTGTATTAACCACTCGACCACCTTGTTCATATGTTGCCACTTCTAACTTTAGGAGTGAATAATTGAAAAGCCTAGATAGATGGACTGTAATACTAGCATAACTACAAATATCATTTGTCACTTTATGTCCTATCAATACTATAATAGAATATATACGGATATCAGAAACCACGAGAAGAATTCCACCTTAGAAAATGATATATGATTTACCTTTCCATATCGAGAACACGGATCTCCGGTGCATTTGGAATACTCTTCCTTAGCCGACAGCCCTCAAGGCTGAAGGAAATTGCCCGGAAAGGACTAAGAGTGGCAAAACACCACCAGAGTGACCTGTCCAATCGCCACATCCACAACTGGAACTTCACAAACAGAGCACACGACAACAACAGAATGTTGCTACATGATCCATTCCAAATGCCCCGGACCATTGCATTTGCACGACAATCAATGGCTGGGGTACCCCAATGAATCGTGAATCATGTCTGAAGGGACAAGGTCTGGACCGTGCCTCGGTCCTCGCAGGGCGGGTATGCTGTGCCTGGTTGCCAGTACATCAGTCCTGCAGACGATCATCTCAAGTCGAAGATGGACCATGTAGGTACCCAAGATCTACCGATCAATTGTGCAACAGCGAAAGCCAGGAATTGGGGCGAAGGGGTCTGATCGCCAGGCAGGAGACCTTTACCTTGCTGCACTATTGATTATTGGTTGGATGGGATTGGAACAGGGGAAAGTTGATGACAATTGGAATGTGTATTGTTTGCATATTTCTGCAGTAAGTTCAAAACATGTAGCAAAGTAATCTTGTGGCTTTTGGATTTTCCCTCATTTTCCAATCTATCGGTGATGTCGGGGAAAAGAAAAACTGGGTAATAACTTTTTTTCAGACGGCCAACCTCTTTTGCTTTTTCTGCATTGTAGATCAATCACATTCTTTTGCTCAACCCCCAAACCAAATCTCTTCCCCCCCCCCCGGACTAATGGATTTTGCACTGAGATGAGACGATCTCTCTAGATAAGTCTGAAAAAAATAATATATAATATCAGCCTTTCATGTTGAAAATTTCGTCACATATAATTAATATATTTTATTCCCTCAGCAACCACTTTGGTCCCAAACTGGTACCTCTAATAGTACCGATTAAGCGGGAATAGAACCTCGGAGATCTCCATAAAATAGGCGAGAGAAACGAAAAAAGTAGGAACCCGTCATTCAGGACCAAAGCGGAAGTAGAAGGACAAGCTCCACTCCCTGGTTCGTACAGATTACCAAGAAATCTTTACTTTGGTGGGAGCCTCACATGTATCCCGGGCTTGGGTTCACTAGTAACAGCGCGGAAATGCAGCCGGACTTTTAGCGTCAAAAGCCACGGGTTGGAATTCTAGAAGGGGGAACTGATCGGTAAGGCCATTACCAATCAGATAGTGGATCGAAAATCCCATGTAATTTAAAAATTAGAGCCGGCCAGCCTTAGTGGTTATTACCTATCTCAAGGACAACTTGGATTGTCCTATCTGTAGTCTTCCTATAGTGTTCCCACGCCGTCTGAGGATCGTTTGAATAGTCTGGTTATCGTATTGCTCTATCGGTGACGGAGTCTGCCGGACTCTCTAGGAATGTAGATCATGTCAAACATCCATAGCCGTACATACCTACCTCCATATAGTACCTAGTAGCTGTCTCTACTAGGCAAGTCCAGGACGAAGAAGCTAACGCATCCACCCGCCATTCTGGAACCTCAGTTCCCCTTCCCCGTCTCGGGCCAGAACTTACTTCTCCTGTCTCCTCCTCCGTAGGGTATCCAAAACTCTCCGTCTTCAGCCTCTTGTTTATCACCTGCGACGTTTGACCCTGACTATTGGGTACTGTCAGCCCATCCATCGCAATTATTACCCAACCAGGCGAATGGTTACCGTAATAGTATCATGATAATCCCCATTTGCCGTTGACATCGTTGATTTAGATTCAAACCACCCGTGCGACCGTTTCCACAATCCCGGTGCCATGCGATCCAGAACCGTCGATCAGCGATATCCCAGTTCTGATATAGCACGGTGTAGTGCTGGTCATTGGGCATGTTTGTGATGGGATTTGATGAGGTGACCCAAGGCATGCGTGGCAGTGGGGGGCGTGATGAGTGGGTGGGTGGGTGGGTGGGAAAGATAACAAACACTACATAAAAATCAAAATAAAAGTACTGTACAGAACAAAGTACTACAACCACACCCAGCCACAAATAATCGGAATATACACAGAAAGTTGCAAGACCAGAATCCTGGACACCAAAGTTTCAAGGGCCCTGAGGAGTGGCGTCGCTACATCGATCGATGATAATCGTGCAGCTGCAGCTCTGGAATGCCCTCCCCCTCCCCCTTACATACAAACAGGTTGCATACATATTGCCGACAGGGGAGGAAAGAGACAACTCCACGGCTTCGATCGGTAGTACGTCGGACACAGTCTTCACGTCGATCCGGTGGATAATCTATCAATCGATGACCGACAGGCTGCATGGGAGTGGATTGTGGCTTCATAGTGGATATGTATCCAGACGCGAGGAGACACATGGATGATTGACAATACCGCACTATCCCTACCTGTGGCGGGGAGTATCATGCATTTGATTCGTCCGGATGTGTCCCGTTGATCACAGCAAACTTTTTTCTCTGATTTCGCCTTCCCAGGATTCTGGTTCCGCGAAAGATGAGGTATCCTCGGAGTACGCGCCGATGTCTCGACATGGAAGGTCAATGATAGATGATCAATCTGACCCATCAATTGTGGCACAGTAGCAGCTTATTGAAGAATGTTTGTGGCTATGAATTATCTGTGTTTGTGAGGATGTACATACCTTGGAGGTTCATCGTACTCCTCACAAGGTACTTTTGTACTGTCATGGCTTGGTTGTTGATACTCTCCCATGAGGTTGGATTTGATACATCTAGATCTATGTCTGCTATTTGTAATAGGGATCTATTGAAGAGAAGAATATACTAGGAAATTATACAGCTCCTGTTATAATCTGTTCGAGCCTTTGATAATTCATTTCTGTCTGTCAATGGATATTGAGGCCATCTTTCCTTTCTGTTCAAAATATATTGACCGCCACTGTTAGCTACACCATAGTGGCTTTGAGCTCGATTGTATATAATAGTAGACTTGTGGTATTTTAATATGACAAATTGTTCAAATATAGTCATGTTCGTGCTCACAATCATGCAGCGCACCGGTTTTTATTGTTTAAAAACAACCAATGTACGTAGTAATCCATGGCCTTGGCAGTAACCGATTGATCCACAAAAACTCCCCGGCCTATTGCCCTAACTTGCAGCGGAGGCTCGTCTAACAGCCTCAATAATTATCTAATAACCACGAATAATACCACAATTATTTACCTTTAGCAGTAATAGTATCGACCATGCCTGTTTGATGGGCGCGGAAACGGAACCAACAGCCAACTCCCCACCCCGGCCTAGAAGTGGGCAAGTCCAACGGTTCTTTAGACTCCTTCCTTTGTCCTCCAGTTTCTAGTGTCGTCTTAGCTGTATTATCTGAGTCAGTCGATCGACTATAATACCCTAGAAGGCTAGGGTGGAAGTCTCCTCTCTGCAACCTAAACAAGAAAAGCAAGACAACACGTCTCCATATCCAGCATAGGGAGGCCCCATAAGCTCATGGCACGATCTGCGATGGAACCATGGTACCGCACCATTCGGACGGACTTCCAGAAGGATTCTGGAATCACCTTGTTCCTGTTGGCAATCTGCTTGTACGTACTCCGTATCGAGGATGATGACGAGTTCGTCTGAAACCATGTATTCTGTCAAGTAGCCTGTTTAGGCTTGATTGTGTATATGTTCATTGTCCGGGAGGCGACAAAAAGGTACGCCCAATCTGAAGCACTAGCGTCGTCCAATTTACATGTCACTTTCCTCTCATTGGAACGATGTAACTCTTCGCTGTTTGAATAACTAGGTACAAGCCCGCTGCAACGCCTATTTGTCTGATTTGACAGATGGGCTTGCCAGGTGGTTTTTCTTTGGCCGTCATGGTCAAAGTACCAAGATAATCAATTGATCAGTTGAGATCCAAACGGATGTCCTATTCGATTTGAAACATGTGGCCGCTAATATGACTACTAACTAAGCGAGCCCTGTCAAACATTAAACGCTTCCGTTAATATCTGGTCCAGGACAGGCCAGAACAAAGAGAACCCACAGCCTGCAGTGTGAATCCTGTGGCTGGAAAGTTGAGCCAACTCGGCAGAACTCAATCATTCTGCCGCCATCTTCCGTTGGAGATACTCTGCCCCATTGTGGCGTGGCTCAGTGGACGGTCAATTGTGGAGTAGTAAATTACAGGTTTCCATACGTTCTACGTATATTCTGGGACCTGCCGATGGAGCCCGCCTTCAGGAGTTAACCCAACTTAGTACGGAGTAGCACTATGTACAATCAATGGAGGTAAATCACGGTACATCAGTCGATCAGCGGCGTTACCCCAGAGGAAATCCAGTGGAACTGGAGAGAAAAATCTAGAAGGGCCAGAGTCATGGGAGGTAAACCGTGACCTGATCCGGAGGACAGACGGAGAAAATCCATAACTTGCTCTGGTGGTCGCGGGGAGAAACAGACGGACGGTACGCTAGAAGGACTAGAAGGTCGTGAGAAGAATGATGGTCGCATATAATACGTAACGGGGCGGGTAACTGTGGGTTTACCGGATCATTGATCGCTATGAGAAGGATCCACCGGCGCCCCTATTGCTCAGGTAGCCCTGATTTCCCTGGAGACCTGGGAATAAGGGAAGGAAATGAAAAAAAAAAATTTTGTTTTCAAACAAAAAACTATAGAATAATAAAGACCGAGGCAAATTTGGCAACAAGGAAATAACTAGATGTACTCTGTTTGACACGGTCAAAAGCTCTTTCCTCTTTGATGGCAATGCAATACAAAATCGTACCCATCCATACATCATCAAACAAGAGCTCAACTCGGCAAACAGCCAATCGCCACCGAATCAGTCAGGGGAGCAAGTGGATCAAACTAGAATGGAAGTATCGAATCAATAAACAATGATCTTGGTTACGATGGTCTCCCGAGACTTAGTAGGCGACTACAGCAGGTACCGGGTAGAAAAAGCTTCTGGATTGGTTCTATGGAGAACCTCTTTTTACAGTACGTACCTTAGCTCGTACCTATAACTTACGGAGTACTAAAGGTACGACAGACTACCCTAGCAGATACCCTACTAATTCCGGTGCCTTAGGCTTTGACCCGGTACTTTGTGCAGACCTTACCTATCAAACATGGCGCCACATACTCTTACTAGTGATTAACCTGTCCTCATTTGTTGAAGTAGAGTAGATATGTACATGCAGTCGGAGTACATGTCTCTGCATGGACATCTCTTGTTCAGGTGTTCATACACTACGCATCCATGTCCAAAGGGAAAATTGCCTTTCATGTACCAGTATTGGTACCTCACGCTAGGTATTCCGTCTGAAAATCTGGAAACCGGATTACATCAAGACGATCAATTGGGTAAAAGTAAGCTAGATTGGGTAAAAAAAAATACAGAAGCCTAGCCAAAGAGTTTCTCAAGGGAATAGTATAGGGCTTGGGGAATAACTACGGAGTAGGTCACTGACCCCCCAAAACACCACGCGAGACGGGGGCAATCGAGACAAGCCCCATTGGTGTTGGTTCGGATCCATCCGCGGTTCCTGGAAGCGGCTGTAAGGTTCCCCACTCACACCCTGCAACAAGCCAGTCCGCTGTGTCCGAGAAGTCGGTTTTCAGAAGGTTAGGTAGCTTTTAATTAACCAAGTAGTACTACCTGTATACGGTGCACTCTGGTGGAGAGCTCCGACTTTCTTCCCTTGTTTCCTTTTCCCCATTTGTAGTGGTAGGTCGGTAGCTATAGGACGCTGGCGTATTACAGAGGTTTCCACCGTTACCATACTACTTTCAGGCTAGATTCTATTCGTAACAGACGGCCTCCTACCCTAGTAGTAGGGAACCTAGGTTGTGATGACTCCAACGATCCCGTGGCTGTCTTGAAAATTCAGCCATCAGCTGAAGTGCTGAGTCCCTTGACTTCAGTCAGGACAAATAAGATAGAAACAAATAAGCCTGAAACGGTCAGAATCACCCCAGGTAGTAAGAACCACACTCACCAATAACACGATGAGATGGGGCAAGGGGAGAGAAACAATGAGAAATTACTGTAATTACTAGGAATAATACCTTACCTTCCAGGTGCCTGGAACAGTGGCCGTCAGTCAAACGTTGGGACAGGAACCTTGGGACGGCGCGCAGAACACAACCAGAAAAGAAAAAGAAAGAAAGGGGGTCGATGGATCGCATCCACACCCACCTACTAGCTTGTCGCGTACCTTCCCCCCGGGACGGGAGGGAGCTGCTATTCTAAACGGAGCTAGCTACCCATGATTCTGTATTTGGATTTTTGATTATTCTGACTTTTTGTCCTGTTCCTGTCAGCTATTATTATTTATAAAAAATAAAAAATACAAAAAAAAAAGTTCCTATTATTTGATTTTATTTTTTGTTCTAATTAATCTTGTTTTAATTTTCCCCCTTCCTGAATTTATTTTATTTTATTTTATTTTTTTTTTAGGTTACTGATGATCGGACCCAAACTTTTTCTTTTTTCTTTTCTATTCTTTATTCCTTTT